TCTAAAATCCTATTCATAAAATGAATCCACAATATTTGAGAAACATATACGTCGGAATGCTTTCCTTGACTCTAAATCTCAAAACGGAAGGATTGGAAGGTGGGAATCTAGTCAGCTACAGGAAATCCTGCCCCTTTGAGATTTTTCAAATGATACAAATATATGAGCACTCAGCTGGTATTCAAATATCTATTGATAATTGACTGAATTCTCTGAACTTGCCATGAATATAGGTATACTATGACAGAGTTAAAAATAAACCGAGGCTGTTTTTTTTCTGCTGCACCTAATTTATGGTCATTCTTTGAGTGTGTGTGTGTTGGCCATCAACACAAGCATCCCTTCAGATAAAATAAACTCCCAGTCACTGCAGGCATCTTCCACAGATTTGGACGCACCAAAATTTGTGAAAGGGAAGCAAGATGAACTTCTTCACTTGATTCCTAGAAATTTCCCAGCTACTTTTTCCAGATACTCTGGGGGAAAATGAAGCAGAGCAAATGTTTGCACAACCACCATTTGGGAAGCCCCGTGTCACAACAAAAATATCTAACACAATTCAAGAAGCACTAAGTGATATGTACAGCATACTAAACCCATTTCCACTGATGCTGCCCTCAGCAAAATGAATATGTTCTTTTTTCCTCTAAGAGAGGAAGACACTTCTTTCCCTACAATCTGGGATGCTCAAGATAGACACTGCAGATGTATCTGAAAACAAACTTCTATGTTGTCAGCAAATCACGAAGATTGAAGGCTGCCTCCTAGTATTGCTAGATTTAAAGTTATAGCAGCATTTCTATTATAAATACCATTTTCCAAGAGTTTATAACCCAGCTGCAAAAAATCTGCTACGGGACCATGTTTTGCAGGTTTAAGAAAAAATAAAAATATTAAAGTTCATTATGAAAAAAAGAACATTTTAAATTTCATCTTGAAATTGTAGATTATAAATATGATTGAAGAATTTTCTCCCCAAACTTAATTTTAATAGGTAAATTTTATTCAGTAAAATAAATATTAATAAATAATGCAAGAAAAATAATGATCAGAAATTTATGAGGTGAAAATCTATTTTAACCTATTCTGAGTGCATGTTGGAAAATTAACTGAGCAAATAGCTATATCATTCTAGAGTAAATTTTACTTTGTTAGACTAGATTTACTCTTGTAACCATGGTTATAGATAATTATGAATATCTATATTTACCGAGTTGTCAAAAGATGTTATACTTTAAAAATAACTCTGGGGCAAAAACTTACTTCATGAAATACAAAGAGAGAAGTAAAACCCTTACTCCTAGCAGTCTCTGCTTCTTTCTGATATATATATATGAATAAATTCATACAAAAACTTGCCCTCCCTTCAACATACATAAATTCACATACACACAGATACACACACATAAGAGCAAAGTTTTTGATTGTCTTTTCCTGTTCAGGAGTAAAAGGCAAGTCAAGTCTCTGAATAAATAAGAAAAAGGAAAAAAGGAAAGTTAATCCCTAACTATTAATATATATATATATGTATATAATCGACACTCAGAAAGGATGGGCAAATGGTGTTAACAATATTTCACAAAACAAGAAATTTGTATTCTCCACATTGTTAGAATCTTCCCTCTGCCTGCTTACCAGAATATTCCTGGCTCAGCAGTCACTTAATAGAGAGTTGATAATGATAATGAGTGAAACCACAAATTTAATTTAAAATAGCCACATTCAGAGTGAACTTGTAGTTCCACAAACATTTAAATCTGAAACTACCTACACAATTATCAATCCAAAAAGATCACTGAGAAGGCAGAGTAGTCACAGCAGAACTTCATCCCCTGAGAAGACAACTTGCCTTCTGGATCTCTTCCTGGGACTTTTTTTCCAGAAGCTCCCCATCTGGACCAGCTTCCACTAAACCACACTTCTAGATGCCTTTGATTTTGTATTGCCCCTCAAGTCTCATTTCTCCCAAGAGTCTCTCTCTTCCCAATTTTCAATAACTCTAATATTTGTATATACTTAATGGAGTACTAAATCAAGAAGTTTATGGCATGTAAAGGAAAATTTAAGTAAGGCATGTCAGAAGAATATTGTTCTGTGTCAAGAAAACATGGTAAGGAAGGAACTTTTAAAGAATATTGGTACCTAGTAAGAGATGTCCTTGCAGAGATAATAAATGGGCCTCACAAAGGATTGAATCTCTCTCTATGGAAGAGATTTTAAAGGATGATGCAATTAAATTAGAATAATGTTAAAAATAGATGACTGAAAAAAAAAAGTGAATCTGATTTTTAAAGGTTAGTAAGATCTACCTAGAAAAAAAATACTAGACCCTTGATTTTTAGGGAAATGCAGAACACTGCCATGCATGCATATTTTAATATAGCTTTTCTTTTTCTTTTCTTTTTTTTAATCTTAGCTTATATCAAGCTATATTTTGAAATGTCCCTTGGTTTCTGTCTTCTTAAATATAGCAGACTTATTCCCAAATTAAAGAAAACCAGATAAGTATACGACTATTACAGTTAGGGATTCTAGAACTTAACATTCATTATATAAATAGATCCCTGTTCACTGTTCAGGATGTCAATAGAGGGAAACATTAATTCTGTCCCTTGGAATTCTTTCTCATACTTTGGAAAGAATGTCAAACACTTAAGCTCTTTTCTCCTTGTTGTGTAGACTTGGTAATACTTCTAAAATAGCTTAGTTTCCCAATTATACTTACTGGCTCTGCTTTTGTTCGCCTTCCCAGACACATCTTATAAGTAACCTAGAAACATAGTTTATTCTACAGACAAGCATTTCTCCCACTCCTTTCCTTTGTCTGTAAAATAGAAAATACTTCTCAAATAACTCCTGCCCTCTTTAACTTTCAGCGTTTTTCTAAGTTCTCCTATATCTTTGGTGTATGCTATTAAAAAAAAAAAAGTTTCTATAAGGGTTAGAAAAGGAATTTATTGAATTTTGAAGGCATTTTCAGTGAAAGTTGTTCAAGTATGATAAAGTCTGAAATTGAGATTGATTTTTTCAATGTTTTAACACAGTCGTGTCTCCTTGTTATTTTTTTTTTAAAGCAATGAAGGGACATATATTTATACCAGCAATATTAAACAAGATGTCAAGGAGCTAGAGATAAAGGCATTAGTCATGCATACATGATTCAAAGGGAGTTGTCTAATAGAAACTTGATATACAACTTGCTAAAAGCCCTTTGTCTAAGGATTCCCAAGTGTCAAATAACCTTTCCCTGGATGTTTTATGACCTATTGTTACCAAGCTCTTCATTTAAATCTAACTTACTATTTTTCTTTTATTAATAAAACCTAAAGCTAAGTCTCTGAATAAAAAAAGTACTTTTAATTTAAAAAGTAGTGTTAATTAATAAAGGTAATTGTCTATTGATCATTTGCTATTCTTAATATTTAATTTTTAAGAAATTGGAGGCTAGACATAGTGGCCCATACCTGTAATCCCAGCATTTTGGAAGGCCAAGAATGGAGGATTGTTTGAGCCCAAGTTTTCAAGACCAGCCTGGGCAACATAGCAAGGCCCCTACTTTAGTAAATAAATGATAAATTGGAGATGGTGTTTACCAGAATAATTAAGATGAAATCAACCCCAGTCTGGGAATATGATCTATGCACAAATAAATAATTAGATCCTCCTGTCTAGAAGACTTACCAAAGAAAAAAGCAACAAGACAGTCTAAAACTCAAGTATATCCCTTTACCATTGTGACTGAATTGAAAGACAAGAAAAAAATGAAAGAATGGTAAGTATCCTAAAATTACTTTTTACATATTATAGTATAGTACATAGTATTATTACAGTAATACTATTTATTTGTATAATGCTGCATAATGTATAAAGGGCTCTGATTTCACTGAGATAAGTAATAAAAATATTACATTTAGCATGTAATCCCAGCACTATGGGGGGCTGAGGTGGGCAGGTCATTTGAAGTCAGGAGTTCGAGACCAGCCTGGCCAACATGGTGAAACCCCATCTCTACTAAAAATACAAAAATTAGCCAGCATGGTAGTTCACACCTGTAATCCCAGCTACTAGGGAGGCTAAAGCAGGAGAATCGCTTGAGTGCAGGAAACAAAGGTTGCAGTGAACCAAGATCACGCCACTGCACTCCAGCCTGGGCAACACAGCAAGACTCCATTTCAAAATATAGTAAATAAATAAATAAAATATTACATTCAGCTTCTTAAGACAAAATTTTAAAGCTACATCAAACCCCAAACAAGTTACTCTACTAAAAACAAAATGATGTAGCTTCATATATCTCTAAAATTACTCCCAGTTTTACTAAACAGTAACTAACAATGTATTACATATTGATTTAATATATATGCAAAACTTTATTTTGTAGTATTCTCTAACTTCTCTTTTATGTGCATTTTTACATTGACTTCTTTATACTTGTTCAATCACAGTGCCAATACCTCTGCACATGTGGATGCTTATTAATGACTACTGTAAAAGGCAAAACCTAAGTCATTTTCACATGCATTATAGGGAGAAAAAGTCAATAATAACTGAAGAATAAGGTGGGGTGGTTTAGCCCCCACCACCCAACAGCTAAATGAGCTCAACCTGAAGTGTATGTCAAATGACATTCTCACACCTATGAACAAGAACATAAAACAGTCTCTAGTAAGAAAACATGTTACAGAGCAAGGTCATCCTAGAGGTGAGGACTCCAAGCCCTTAGTGGTGACCAAGGGGCTCCAAGAAGCTTGCTTATCCAGGTGGGACAGGCCCCAGTCAGTACAGACTACTTTTCAGTGCCTAAACTCCCAGCTATGGAACGACAGAAGAGGAGAGCAATGTCTGACAGGAAGAGAACCAAACATTCACACAAAAGGTAAAAGCACAAAGGAGAGAAGTTCAGCGGACAAAGGCTGGAATGAAGTACATCAATACAAGCCACATGGGAGGATGACAAAAGAATTCAGAGAATACATACAGGTTTTCTGGAATTTTTTTTTCTCAACAGTCAATATATTAAAATGAAGAAGTCTCACTTGAATGAAATATACAGTCAGCTGCTTGAATAACTTAAAGCATAAGTCCTTTTAAGAAAATATATCCCCCAAAAAGTTACCTTTCTTTGCTACAAAAGAAGCAGCACAGCACTAAGAGAGATGATGCAAGTAATAAGTAGAAATTTGGCTCTAGGGCTAATATGCTGGAAAATTACAAATTTCAGTTGTTTCCATATAATATGTTCAACTTAAAACTATGGCAGATTCCTCAAAAAATTAAAAATAAAACTACCATATGATCTAGCAGTACCACTTCTGGGTAGATATAACCAAAGGAAATAAAATCACTCTCTTGAAGAGAGATCTGCACTTTCACATTCAGTGCAGCATTATTCACAATAGCCAAGGTAGGAATGAACCGAAGTGTGCACTGAGAAATGAACGGATGAAGAAAATGATGTGTGTGTCTGTGTAATGGAATGTTAACAGCTTTAAAAAAAAAAAAAAAGGACATTGTCATTTCCAACAACATGCAGGAACCTGGAGAATGTTATCCTAAGTTAAATAAGTGAGGCACAGAAAGACAAATACTGCATGACCTCACTGATATACGGAATCTTAAAAAGTCAAATTTGTAAAGCACAGAGAATGGTGCTTTCCAGGAGCTGAGGTGTGGGAGGAATGGGAAGATGGTCGAAGGATACAAAGTTTCAGTTACGTAGGATGAATAAGTTCTGGAGATCTATTGTACAAATAGTGACTACAGCTAATAATACTGTATAGTACACCAAAAAGGTGCTAAGAGAGATCTTAAACGTTCTCAATAAAACAGACACACACACACACAATTAATTCTAGTAGAATGCAGACAACATTAGGCAACTAATGGTAGTAATTCCAAGACTAATTTATAGCTCACAGGTTTTTAGTTTTTTTAAATAGGAAGATGATGGTTTATAATTCTTTTTTTGTATTTAGTTTTGTATTTTGTATTACATTTTGTATTTGTGTGAACACACACAATGGTAACTGTGTAAGGTGATGGATGTGTTTAATTAGTGTGATTTTGGTAATCATTTCACAAAATACACATATATCATTACGTTGTACGCCTTAAATGCATACAAAGTTTGGCAATCATAGCGAAATAATACTGGAAAAACAAGCAAAAAACCTATGGTAGATCCAAGTAAATAATAAAGGGCAAGAAAAATTATATTACTTTTGATGATGTGAGTTTACTTATGAGCTAGTATTATGCAAATGCTTTCATTTTCCAGTCAGTAACTTTTAAGTCATCTTCCCCAGGGAAATCTACCTTTCCCTCCTGCTAGGATAGTTTCCTCAGTTTCGACAAAAGCTATTTTTCGAAAATAAGGAAAAGATTGTGAATCATCAATACAGTCTTTAAAGAATTATTTGAAAAGTCAACAGTTATAATAATCTATTTTAAATCCCCAAAAAGAAAAGGTGTGACAGGTTTGTAAACCAAGAGTTATGAAACACTTAATAAAATATTTCCAATTGGTGATATCATTTCACAGGGACCAGTTCCAGAATAGCCTAGGTATGTGGCCCACACTGGTCTATATCACTGGGAGAAAATATAGTAAACACTAATTCCAGAAACAAAAAAAAAATTCTTATCTACTTAATATTTCTAGAAAATATTAGCAAAAATGTCTTATATAAAATAGCCCTTGATATAACAGACTATTCTAAAGGACTTTTGCTTTAATTTTGAAACATTTATGACAAAATTTCAGCAAAAATTTAACAGAAGTAGTTAAAATAAATTGTACATTCTCAAAATGCCTGAAAGTAAAAATAAACCATATGTGACATATCCTAACTGAACAAGTACCTTTCTTGTGACGGTTTCTAGCTATTATTTTGTAAATTCAAAAATATCAAAATGTAAAGACTAAGATTTTACTCATATTTGAAAATCCAAGACCACTTTTCTCTTTCTCTTGGTAATACTAATATTCATTTCCAGCTGCACTGCCCAAAATGGTAGCAATTAATCATAGGTAGCTATTTTAATTTTAATTTATATTAATAAAATTAAATCAAATTAGTTTCTGAGACACATTAGCGATGTTTCAAGTGCTTAATAGCCACATGGAACCAGAGGCTAATGCATTGGTCAGAGAAGAGACATAACATATCTATGACCACAGAAAGCTCTGCTGGATAGCTCTAACATACAGGTTATAAACAGAGAAGGAACATTATCCTTTTGAATGTATTACGATACAGTTGTTAATAAAAACTCAATTACCAAAGCTGTATTTATATTTACAAGAAAAATTACTCAATTTCAAAAATGTTTCTATCGTCTTTTATAGTATAACAAAGTCCATAGCCCTAACAGTAAGTTTATTTCAATTTTATACTGAGCTCTTCAAACTAGAAATATGGTTTGAAATAAAAAGTCAATTGATTTGTATCTATAGATTACATAAAGACTTACTACATTAAGCCTTCCAAGATTTTCTATGGAGATTCAGGGGAATAAGTTAGTGAGTTAACTGAATACTCCTTAACCTCATTTTTTTTTTTTTTTTTTTTTTTTTTTTTTGTTTTGAGACGGAGTTCCACTCTTGTTACCCAGGCTGGAGTGCAATGGCGCAATCTCGGCTCACCGCAACCTCCGCCTCCTGGGTTCAGGCAATTCTCCTGCCTCAGCCTCCTGAGTAGCTGGGACTACAGGCGCGCGCCACCACGCCCTGTATTTTGTATTTTTAGTACAGATGGGGTTTCACCATGTTGACCAGGATGGTCTCGATCTCTTGACCTTGTGATCCACCCACCGCGGCCTCCCAAAGTGCTGGGATTACAGGCGTGAGCCACCGCGCTCTAACCTCATTATTTTTATCAATTAATATCTCTTAATGTTTCATCAGTAAATAATATATCAATTTATTATTGATCCATAACTACTACATAAAAGGTATTTAATAAATAGTTAATGATTTGTAACTTGAAACAAACATGCCTCTTCTGTCTTATCAAAGAAAAATGGGGAAGACAGAGACTTTTCCAATCTTTCCACATGCCCTTGGAAATTATTTGGGAAAAGTGCAAAGGCATGAGTAAATGTACACACTTCTCCATATAAACAAATTTAGTACAATCAACTGGCAAACCTAAATTTATTTATTAAATTGTAATCTAAGCATAAGCAGAATTATCAGGGTGGTGGTAGTGATGGTTCGTGTGTTGGGGGAAGGGGGCAGGAAATAGTTCTTCCAATATGTACAATCATAAAATACTTACACACACATATTAAAGCACATCTTATGTCTAAAATCCACGCCATGAAAAATTTCCATAAATTATAAAATGTCATTCCTTTTCCTTACCTCTTTACCATTCTACTTTAACTGGCAATTTTTCTGCAAAAGTGAAAAAGAGTGGGACTTCTAACAGTGGTATCCCCAGTTCTTTGATGACTGGAACTCACCTAAGTACTGTTTAAATATATTGTAGCAAATCCAGAAACAGTTGATGACTCTCTAGCTAAAATTAGGGAAAAGAAAGCTGGGCATGGTGGCTCATGCCTGTAATCCCAGCACTTTGCGAGGGTGAGGCAGGCAGATCATTTGAGGTCAAGAGTTCAAGATCTGCCTGGCCAACATGGTGAAACCCCGTCTCTATTAAAAATACAAAAATTAGCTAGGCATGGTGGTGGGTGCTGTAATCACAGTTACTTGAGAGGCTGAGACAGGAGAATCGCTTTAACTCAGGAGGCAGGGATTGCAGTGAGCTGAGATTGTGCCACTGCACTCCAGCCTAGGCAATAAAAAGTGAAACTCTGTCTCAAAAAAAAAAAAAAAAAAAAAAAAATATATATATATATATATATATATATATATATATATATATATATATATTAGGGAAAAGGCAAGTGGGCAGAGTTAAGAACATTTGACCCACCCATTCTCTACATCTGTCTGACCAGACTGACATGGATGAAATCTCTGTCAGTTAAGTTAAAGTTCAAGAAGACTCTCACCATCATCCTATGACTTTTATGAACTATCCAAAAGGCTCCATAAAAAAATTATAAAGGGAAAGTAGATAAAATACAAAGAAAAAAGAATAATAAACCATCATCTTCCTATTTAAAAAATTTTTAAACCTGTGAGCTATAAGTTAGTCTGGGTATTACTACCATTGGTTGCCCAATATTGTCTATATTTTATTAGAATTAAGTAAATTAATTGAAGAACCCTCTGCTCATTCTTACTGCATGTGGTAGCTATCTTGCATTCATGTTGTTAAACTACTATACAGTATAGTTAGCTGATTCAAATTATTCTTTGACAGATAAAACTAAGATATACCAATATCATACCACAGCTAATTTATTTAAATTAATATTCTAAATCTTCTTAAATATAAAAAAGAAATTGTCTCCTCAGTGTATACTTAATTCGTTGTAGGAGTGGGAGCAGGCATATCTGCAGAAGTTTCACTTCTTGGAAACAGGGAAATCAGCAGCAGTAGCATGAGAAGAAAACATTAAAAATGGCATTTAAACTGTTGCAACAAATGAAACAAGCTCATGCTACATTAAATCCATGCATGAAGTCTTCAAACTCATCCTCCTTACTAGAATTCTTGACAAGTCAGTGAAATAGGCAGACAGTGCAGATAACCATTAACCCTATTATTTATTGCAATTCCCTTTGTTCCTAGAAAGAACTGGAAAATGAGAAATCTTGCAACGCTGAAGGTCATGGAGCCCAAACCTTCATCTCATTCAAGTGAAAACTGAGGCCCAAAACCATAAAATGACCTGCTGAAATACACAGCCACAGAATGACAGAGCCAGAACAGTAAGCCATGGGTGGACAGCTCTACAACAGCTGATCTGTTGTTAGAGCCAGAGGGCCTACCCCTTTTGTGGAGAACAACTTCTGAACTCTATGTGGGCTCTTCTAGCATTCCTATCTTTATTTGGAAAAAAAAAAGTGAATAATGTTCTTTATTTCTTAACTTTTGGGGCCTTTTAAATAGATGTCCATGGTACAGCAAGAAAGTTTAAATATTTACAAGACTTTTGAAATTACTGATCAACATCTTGTCAGATGGCACAAATGCAAAAGCCTACTATGTTTTACAAGACCCAGTCTCCTGTATCATCAATCTAACCAAAGGCAACTGCCAAATTAATCTTCCTAAAACAATTTTAATCATGTCACTCTCTTACACACAACATCTGGTAGCTCCCCTTTGCCTACCAAATTAAAATCCTCACACTGGCATTTAAAGCCTTTCAGAACATGTTCCAATCGATCTTTCCTTCCTGGTACTTATTACCTGTTCCCCAGCTGAACTGCAGCCACATGATGGTCACAACCCTCATTCTTTCCCTCTCAATGCTTCTCTTTGCCCATGCTATTCTCTATCGTTGGCATGCGTTCTCTCATTCCATTGTGACCTGTCAAAAAGTCTGTATTATCCAAGGGTAGCTTGACTCCCATTATTTATTTTCTGATTGTTCACCTTAACCTCATCCAAAACACATGCACTGTTAGATATTACACCTCCTCCCTTTTAACTCTCCAAGAATCTGCTTTTTCTTTTCTCGCAAAAACAATCGCACTGCCCCATTTTTACAGAGTATGTATGCACCTGTCCTAACTTCTTTTTCAATCAGACTGAGCTCCTTGACATAGTCAGTGGGTCTCACTGCCGCCAGCATCCAACTAGCCCTGTTGACTTGCATGCCAAAGACCTTTATAGAAAGAATACACAAGAATGACTTAAGCTTCACTGAGGTTTATGTAGAGACCATGTTAGAGGCAGAATGGGGGGTACAAATACTATATGTTGCTGTAAAGTGATTATGGGACAGAAGCAAGTGCTGGCTCTTTGTGGTTTCATAGCCTACTTCTTCATTCACCTGAAGTTCCCTGGGACTCAGAACTCTTTTGAGGGTACAGAATGCATTCAGAAGCTGTTAACTCTTTCTGAAGAAGTTATTTGTTCAATGATCTGGAAGGCCATGTGCAGCTTCCCCAAGGCCTGCATTTGTTATTGAGCAGGAAGTATGGCAACTTGTTGTGTTTACTAATTGGGTCAGTTAGTAATTTTGTTCTTTTATTTTTTGGAAATGCCGAACAATAAATAATTATCCTATTGGAATCATATTGTGGAAACTGTTGATTTACTTTCATAACTTTTGCAACAAAATAGTTCTCAGCAATGCTAAATGCCATAGGTGTGATACCTGCCCTTTAAACTACATAAGGTAAAATAAAACCACTTCTTCAGTGCAGTCCTGGTACCAGCATAATCACCTGGCAGATGAAAACGTCTATTCACTTTATCTAGAATCTTAAAATAAGTTTTATTTTTTTTTCTTCTCTTTTTACTGGGACTATTTTTCTTCTTCTTCCAGCAGGTCAGCATCAGAAAGCAATTTGGGCCATCATATCCTGCTCTGATATTTCCAGATGTCCTTGCCATTGCTTTTAGATAATTTTCTACTTCATGTCCCACGTTCTGTATTCTCAGTCTTTCTCTGAGGTTTATGTGGTTTTAATGATCTAGGTGTATGAGTCTCAGGAAAGAGCCTAACCAGTCCCATCTGTACTCCTCACAGTAAGACATGCAGCTTTCACAGCTTTCAAATTCTTTGGGTCCATTTCACTTCCATGCAAATAAACAGAGTGCTTGATGGGAACAGTTAAATGCTGGAAAAACAAGCTGAGTCTGTAATTGGCCTTGTATACATTCCTCAATCTTGACTTGTCATTGAAAATTACACTCAGACAGCCTATGGCAGTGGGTAGCCTTTAAAAAAAAAAAAAAGGAGTATGTACTCTATTCATTTCTCTTTTGGAAATCTAGAGCTATACACAGCCCAGAAATGACAGTAATAGAGAAATTTTAGTGTGGAAGATGTATCATCTTTTCTCCCTGCTTTGGCAAAAAATGAAAGGCGGATTTTTCAGTGAATTTCTTTGAATTGATGAGGTTAATATTTTATTTGAACACACTACAAAGGCATAAATAGCTTTTTCATGCCTTTATATTGATAAGAATAAAGAAAAGAATGGTAAATTCATTCCCAGGATCAATTTTGCTGAAAATTTCACAAGCTGATCTATCCTCAGAGTAGATTTAGAAATAGGATTTATTAACAGCATCATCTTCCTCCCAGCCATTTCATTTCCAATCTGTTGTCAGCCTTGCCAAGGCCTCCTTGCTCACTGTCCACCCACATATGCAGACGCTTTCCCGTTCTATTAATTTCTGCTTTGAAACGTCTCCCAAATTTGTTATCTTTTCATGTTCACTGCCAGTCACTTTTCATATAAACTACAGTCCCATTACCCCATATTACTCTCCTTTCCTGCAATTAATTCTCTGCCCTTCCCATTCCCTGCTCACCCTTCACTGAAACCACTCTTGTTATCACAGCTCCTTGCCCAAGAGCCATCAGTGCATACTTGTTGATAGTAAAATGCCTCATCTTGACCTTCGAGGCTTTTGATATTTTACCACAACCAATATTTCATCACAATTCAATATCTTTTACGATCTAATCAGCTTCACACTTACTGTCCTGAGACTTTACCAATTGCAATGCATTTCCCCTTTTCAGACAAAAGCCCTACATCTCTGCCTGTTGAAAGTCTATCCATCACTCAAGATTGATTCCAAATATTATTCTTTTAAGATATCTTTCTGATTAAACCTAAACTTCATGAGTTCTTACATGCAAAATAAATAAATAAATAAATAAATAATAACATTCCTTCCTCCTTAATGACCTTTCTAGTCTTGTAGTGTACATATTTGATAATTTGTAATCTGCCTTCATATTAGATTTTACATACCCAAGTGCAGTACTTGTATGCTTGTGTGTGTCACTGATTTGTACAGACTCAATTTGTAATTCAATACCTAGCACAAGGCAAGCCACACAGTAAATACTCAGGAATACACGTTGAATTCAATCAATATGTGTTTTCTGACTTACCAGTGTTCTGAAAATTTATTTTCATTTGTCTAGCCATTAATGCAAATCTACATAGATTATGCACCTGCCTGTTCTTTTTAGCAATTCACACTTCAACTAAATGATTTTGCTTTCTTTCCAGTTGACGGTTTGTGATTTCCTGTCTCTGCATGTTTTCCTTCTCATTTCGAGCTTACCCCAACCATGGGTAAGCTGCAGACTCTTTCCCAGCCCCACTTCTGTGTTATCTATCTCTGCCTCCTTCTGACATACTTCTCTCTCTCCCAAGTTCTGTTTTTAAAGGATGACTCCGTAAAATAAATCCATATAGGTGGCATTATTTCCAAGAGCTTACATTTTATCTGGCACATGAGAGATTAAAAGTTTGTTCAGTATTCCATCCTGCTCTTCTGTTTATTTTCTGGAGTCTTTTCCTCTTTTTCTCCTCTACCTTTGACACTTTCCCTTTTCCGCAAATTATTTATTATTATTCTAACTCACTGTCTGCCCCATCCTGCCTTCTTGAGTTCCGGTGAAGAAGCCACATTAGACAAGGCTGGTTAGGGGAAGTCAGGACAGCAGGTCAAGGAGGAAGGTACTGACCGGACAGTGAGACATCTTAGAGTCACC